CAAAGTCACTTTTAATTAATATAAAAAGTTGATCAAAGTCATTAGACAAATTGACTTTTGCCAATCATGAGAACATGTGAATAAACTACTTTCTATTACTTTAATCTTTTCAAATTTTTATAGCCCTTAGAGTTTGAAACATGGAATATAACATTTTGCTTACTCAACCAATCACTTATTCATTTATTCAATGAATATTTACTAAGCATTTACTATGTATCAACTATTATATCAACCTTTTGATTTACAAAGAAGAATAAAACTTGAACACTGGCCTTAAACTGTCTATAGTCTAATGGAAGACAAAGAAAAATAAATTAATGATTAGAAATTGTCTAATGTCACTAGAAGTTATAATACACAGAAAATGATAGGAGGACATTTGAAGAAACGTCAAAGTATACTTTGGGTCAAAGAAGGCTTGAAGTGAAATTTGTTTTAGGAGTTACTGCAGAGAGAAATGCACCCAATCATGAAAGTCCCTTTGAACTTTCCTAAGAAACTCAACCTATCCTCAAGACGGTGGGAACTTAATGAATCAAGAGAATGGTGTTGCTCAGACAGAATTATAGATAACGGGAAATACAAACATTGCAGCAATCTAGAGGTCCTTTCTTCTCTATAGTGTCCATTTCACAAATAGGCAAAGCTCTAGTGGGCTTGTGTTTAGATAGAATAGTGGCTGTGGAGTCAATTCCGACTCATAGCGACTCTGTAAGGAGCTCTGGTAGCGTAGTGGTTAGGAATCGGGCTGTGAACCTTAAGGTCAGCGGTTCGAAACTACCAGCCGCTCCGCAGGAGAAAGATGAGGCTTTCTACTCCCGTAAAGATTTACACCCTCGGAAACCCTGTACAGGGTCGCTATGAGTCGGAACCGACTCGACGGCACTTAACAACAACAACAACAACAGGGTTTCTTTACGGGAGCAAAACGACTCATCTTTCTCCCGCGGAGCGGCTGGTAGTTTCGAACTGCTGACCCTACGGTTCGCAGCCCAATTTGTACCCACTACGCTACCAGACCAAGTTTCAGAAAAAAATCTAAGAACTGTGATACAATCTTTGCAAATGTCTAAATTTTGTCAGCACACAAGAGGGCTTCAAGTCCTGTTGGCTAAGAGAAACGGAAGTCCACACAAGCAACGGACTCTTTCTTTTCCATTCCATGGATATGGGTTTTTAGTGTTATAATTAAATTCTCGATTGGTGATTTTTTTCCAAAGAAGAATTCAATTTACAAGTGATGGAATCTGGATTCGTGGCATGGGCTGTCTAGCAACCCAGAGAATTTGAGACCAAGAATCCTTTCTCTTCTTCCCTCTTTTTCGCTATTTCAGGTTTTACTCATCTCTCTGGCAAGAAAATGATGAAGATGGCCAATAATTATACGGGAATCTAAATGGTCTCATATATTGGATCTGGGAGTTACTGGTGATGCATGGGAAAAGTTATTGTATAATGTAATTGATGTTTAGCTGGTAACTTGTTTTGAAGGCTATCTTTGATTTTGAAACTTCCATGCATTTTATAAAACATGTGGGCAGTGGAGTAGGTGAAAATCTTATGTGATTTTCTAGACTCTCTAGAAGTTTAGGGAGGTGGGATTAATGAGAAAGGAGGGCATTAATTCAACTTTAAAGATGCTCGAAGATGTTGAATAGAAATAATAGAAGATGTTCCAGATGTCTACTTCTAGAAAGAAACTCAGGTTTCAAAAAAGCATTTGAGAAATCCCCTGTCTTAGACTGAGCAAAAAGCACAAATTGGGATAGGGAAGATGCTTTGTATATATTTTGAAACTAATTTGTTCTGTGGAAATTTGGGTAAGGAATGTTCATCTCATTGGGACATTAAATTTATCTGTAAAGACTAAGAAAATTAATTATGGAAAAACTATTAAACTAGAAAGGTCAACAGAAAATAGAAGCATACTTCGAAATACAAATAGATTAGGATGTGTCTTATTGTTCACGTTTATAGAATGATGGCTTTGGAGTCAAATTATTTCAAATAATGTGCTGGTGTGTGCTATGTTCATGCTACATTCCTATACTCTCTGGAGAATCATTGAGGCAGGACTTCTAAATTGTGTGGAGATGTTTGAGTGAACATCATCATGGAAAACAACTTTCTAAGAAAACAGCTGAGGTACACACCAATTTAAAGGCAGTGATGAAATGACAGAGGCAGGAACAAGTCTATATGTAGTACGACAATAGCTCTCTTTCAGTGATTTGCCAACAACTTTCCTCAGCTTAAATCGTAACAAAGGCAATAAATATAACAACAAACAAAACTGAAAGAACTTAAGTATTGAGAGTGCTCATTGCAGTTACACTGGTTCTGGTGGCTTCTGCAGTGGTGGAAAACAGTTTAGCTTTATGAGTAGGAAGTAAACTCATTCTGGGCATAACTTTCACCTTTCTCAGCATTTGGCCTTGGCAGAGTTGAAATACATGAGAGAGCACTGGCAATGGTGTTACTTCCTTCAGTAGGCTCCAACACTGACAGAAAGTCTTCAAGGCAAGGACACTGGATAGGCATACCTTCAGTTTAGAGGCCTCATCTTTCCACAGTTCAGATATGTTGCTATTGTCAGAGGAAGGAGACATTCTAGTGATCTGGAGATAAAGGAAATAGTGAAGACTGACATAGTATCCCAGAGGACCACACTCATGGCTCCCTTCGGGTATTCCTAGGATTACTTGGGAATTACTTGAGGGGAGTTCAAATTACTTCAGAAAAAAACAAAGATTATTCTTATGATCCCTTTCCCCTCTTCCAGGTCAAGGTGGTATCAGAAATATACATTATATATACATGATTTAAAACTTCTGAGATTTAAGAAGCTAGTCAAGCAGCAGGGCTCCAATTTTTCTGGCCACGAATGGCAACAGAACTGAAGAAATATTTCAATGATATAAAATGTTTAAAAAGCAGATGGTTGGCATAAACAAGGAAGACAAATAATTTATCTAAACAGATGCTTAAGCTTTATCAGACTGGCCCCTGAACCCAGCATTATGAAAAATATCATAAAGTAGAGATTTCCAGAATTGAGACCACTTTATTATCTGCTGTATGTTTCTAGGAGTCCTGGTGTGGTGCTAGAGTATAAGCACTGGACTGCTAACCTCAAGGTCAGTGGTTCAAGACTACCAGCCGCTCTTCGGAAACCTTATACAAAGTCACTAAGAGTCCAAAACAGATTCGAAGGCACTTAACAATAACACTTTCTATTTGTTGCTGTTGCTGTATGAGTTGATTCTGACTCATAGGGCCTCTGTGAGGCAAAGTAGAGCTACCCCATAGGAGTTTCTAGGCTGAAATCTTTAGGGGAACAGATCACTAGGTCTTTTCTCCCTTGCAGCCTCTGGTTAGTTCAAACCACCAACATGTTAGCAGTTAAGTTGCACCAACTTCCATAGTAATTTGTTGTTGTTAAGTGCCATCGACTCGATTCCGACCCATAGCGACCCTGTACAGGGTTTCCAAGGCTGTAAATCTTGACGGGAATAGAAAGCCTCATCTTTCTCCTGCGAAGCAACTGGTAGTTTTGAGCTACTGACCTTAAGGTTTGCAGCCCGATTCGTAACCACTACGCTACCAGAGCTCCTTAGTAATTAAGGAGTGATAAAAGATGAGATAAAGGGGAACTTATTGGGATTATAGAAGTTAAAGCCAGAATGATAGTCATACCATTCTAGAGAAGACACTTAGAAAATCTTGGAAATCCTGGTAACTATGCTATTTATTCTGAACAATAACAAAAAATCTAATAAGGTAAAGCAGGTTGAAAATCTCTGGCTAAACAATGCATGTAACTCCCTAGACTCACACCACTGGAGAAGCAACATGTATCTTAGATAACTCTTACTACTGATCAGTGTGTGTGACTTTGGACATTAGGTAAATGTTGTTAAGTGCCATCAAGTTGGTTCTGACTCATCGTGACCATGTATAGGGTTTCTGAGGCTGTAAATCTTTATGGGAGCAAAAAGCCTCATCTTTCTCTCAGTTCAATTTGAACTGCTGACCTTTCAGTTAGCAGCTCGTTAGGAGTAGGTTAAAGCATGCCTACAACAAGGCAGGAATATGCTGTAAGACAGTGAATCAGCAAAAGGTATGATGCTAAAGTAATGTGGACAGGGCAATTATGTGCTGATGGAGTGGTAGCAAAGCGTTTCACTCCATGAATGAAACCGTATCTACTACCTGATGAGTCAACCTCATGTGTGTCAGAGAAGAACTACGCTCCATAAGATTTTTAATGACTGTAATCTTACGGAAATAGATTGTCAAGACTTCTTTCTGGAACACCGCTGGGTATATCTGAACCTACAACGTTTCAGTTAGTAACAAAGTGCAAACTATTTGTGCCACCCAAGGACCTACATGAAAATAAAGAAGCTAATGTATAAGAATAAGAACAAAGGTGAAGTACACAGAAGGAAAGCGTTTATTTGATTAGGCTTTTCCCAGTTTTCCAGCTTCTTGAATAAAAGATTGGGAATTTTTACTGAAATCCCACTGATGATCAATTACAAGACTAAATAAGTAATTTAAACCACTGTATAGTGAACTATCTGAGGTTCATATTCTATAGTTGGAGTTTAGTCATGCTTAAGTAATATTTGACAGAAGACAGAATTCTTTCTGGAAATGCTAATGATATAATCACAATGTTCTTGTTTAGTGCTATTGAGACCATTCTGACTCATAGCAACCCTATATGGGGTTTCTGAGGACTGGCTCATGAGTTTAAACCACTGACCTTACAGTAAAAACAAGTGCTTATCTCCTACAGTGCCACACCACACCACACAATGGTTGTGTATAAAAAGCCACCATATAGGTCAAGATGTTGTCCTGGGTTAAAATTACTATTTGCTATCAACATATCTATGTCTTATTTTGTTTCCTTCAAGACAGAATAACACATGATGTTATGAGCCTCACAAGTCAGTAACCAATTCTTTTTGTTATCTCGGTATTTACAGAACCACATGATTGCCAGCCTATTGGAAGCATACTCAGGTCTGTTAAGCAATCAAGCCCTAATCCTGGCCATGAACTCCAGGTATGATAAGCAGTGATGCTCTCTTAAAAGTAATCATTACTCCAAATGCTATCATTCAAATTCAGCAATGATTCTTTCTTTCTTTCTCATGTTGCTTCCCAATCTTTTTATATTTCCTGGATAGGTAGATAATGTAGCTATGGCAGTGTTATAACCTGGATGCATATTTACTTTTTAGGTCTATTTTCCATTGGCTTTCATCTTCACTTTTCCATTTTTTCTAAATGATCATATTTTCATTTTAGCATCATAATACTCCCAATTTTTTATATTTTCTTTTGTGAAAGTTTCCAGTGGTTTGTCAATTTTTTAAATCTTTTCAAAGATCCAATTTCCTGTTGATTCTTTCTATGGCTTTTCTGATTTCTGTTTCATTTGTTTCTGCTCTAATATTTATTCTTTATTTTCCTTCTGGTGGCTGTAGGTGTACTTTGTTGCTCTTTGCTAGTGGTTGGAGATGATAGATTAAGGTGCTGATTTTGATTCTTATTTTGGGACGTGTGTATTTATTGCTATAAATTGCTCTCTGAGCACTGCTTTTGTTGTTTCCAAAAGGTTTTGTTATGCTGTATTTTCCTTCTCATTTGATTCAAAGAATTTTTAATTTTCATTTTTTATTTGCTCTACTACCCAGTAGCTTTAGGGCAGGGTGTATTTGATTGTCTTTTCTCATCTTTCATGATATTAAGAAAACTTTTTTCCAACAATTCTTTGACATTTTTTTCTGTGCTTTTCTTTTTGTCTTCTTGTTCTGGAATTCTAATCAACCATGTGATTCCTCTTCATGGTGTCCCACATATATCTTAGACTATCTTCAGATGTTTTTCCTTCTTTTTTCCTGATTGTTCTTCTAGCACACTAATATTGAGAGATGTACCTTCAAGGTCACTAATTCAGGCACATCAATTGATTAAAACCTATTCCTTTGCCATCAATGTGTTATTTATTTCTGAAATCTTTGTATTAGTGTTCTGGATTTCTATTTGCAGATTTTATAATTGTATTCAGTCTTTGAACTATTTTGTCTGATTGTTCCTGTAGTGTTTAATTGAATCTGACCAAGTTTTTCCAGTGTTTCTCTTGCTTTCCTCAATCTTTCTTTCAAATATTGAGATTCCTAAATGTCATTCTTTGTATTTGTTCTCAGGTAGTTCCAATGCCTGTTTTTCTTAGAAATGTTTTCTTGCTCTGCATCTAGGTCACCTGTTTAAGCCATTCTGTCTTATTTCTTGTTCCTTCAATGTCTACTACCCCCAAGACATTGTGGTGGTATTGTATTTGTATATAATTGATGACTGTACATTGGTGAGTTCTTAGGCACTCACCAACTGTCTCCCTGTGGGTGATTAGAGAATAGATGCTTGTGTACAGTTCTCTATATGGTATATATGCAGTTTAGAGTGAGTTTGAATGGTGCTGGCTGTCTTCTATCAGTGATCAGGTAGTATAAGAGCTGGTATTGACTCTTGTCCAGTGGGTGGGGCTACAGAAGGTACATTTACGGCCGGGTTGTATGGGTATAGTTTTCATCCCCTGTCAGGTGGGGCAAGAAGAGAAAACACAAACATATACAAGAGAAAAACAAATAAACAAGCAAACAACAGTGAAAAAAGAAAACAATAAAGGGGGGGGGGGAACCACAGGTAGAAGCAAGATAAAAAGAATACAATAACCAAAAAGAGAAAAGAGGGGAAGGAAAATAAAATCATGAAAAATAAAAAAAAAGAAAGGGCACTAAACACAAGTAGGTGGAGGGAAGAAGAAAAGAGAAAGTGATCACAGAGTAGTAAGGACAATTCAAGAGGGAAAAAAAAGAAGGGGAAAAAGAAACAAAAGAAAAGAGAAAAACCAAATCTAGAGAGGGAAATGATAAAAAAAAAAAACAAGGGAAGGAAAAGAGAAGGAGAAGAAAGAATAAGCAAACAAAAACAATGCAAGAAAAAAACCCCAAAGAGAATAAAACTCTGTGGGACTCCTACCAGTCAAGAGGCTCACATGGTGAGTGGGTGTGGAATGAGACAATGGAGCTCCTGATCCTAGATGGAACTGCTATAGGCCTGGCTGCTGACTATGCTTAGTTCAGAAGTAGTTCATGCAGGACTCAAAGTAGTTAGGATCAGGGTCTTTCAGACCCAGAGGGCAGCTGGGGGCAATAGGGCATCCAGCCATGAAAGTTCCTGCTAATCCAGGACTGGCTGGAACTGACTCTACAAGTCTGGAACAGGATTCACCTGAATCTAGGTGCTCCGGATAGTACAGATAGCACCACATGATGTGACTCACAACTGTGTGATTCCTACCTTCCAAAGAGTAGAAGCTGCACTAGAGGTGGGTGTGGATGGGCACTGGCTCATCTCTGGTTATCACGGGAGTGTCAGGAAACTTGTACCTTTTTTGCTGCCAGTCACCAATGTGCCTCTGATCCACCAAGCCATCATCTGCTTCCAAGTAACTGGTAAAAGTTCAAGATGGTCCAGCTCTGTCTGGCTGGCTAACATAGTTCACTTGTCCATCTCCTTTTATGTGGCTCCTGTTTAGTTTCTTCTCCTAATGAGTATTCAGTCCACTTCTCTTTCCCTTCTTCTGAAGTTCAGTTTCAGAACTATGATTTGCATCTATTCCATTAGGTCTTCCATATCTTTGTTGTAGAGGGTCTGTGTATATGTCTGCCTAGTCCTCCATCTTGAAGAAAGTCTTCTTGATATTCATTTTATTGATTTAATAGGTTCAAAATTATACCAACTGTTATTTTAATTTGCATGCCTTTCAACATAAGCAAAACTCAATATTTTCCATGTTTATGTATATATTAATTTTCTCATATTAGAATTTTTTCATATCATTTGTCAGTTAATTATTAAAATTTTAGTGATGGTATATATTTTATAAACATCTCATGATATTTTTGTGACCTTTCAATTTGTATTTATTTATCTTTATTTTTAGAGTTGGTTTTATAGAGTCAGCTATATTTTTGTTACTTTTTATATGTTATCTGGAATAAAATTAATTCTGTACTGCATTTAACATGATGTTCAATTTTCTCTTGGTTCTTATGTGACTTAATATTTGTTAGGATAGTTATTTCAATTGATGAACTAATATATTCTTTGCAATTCCATTTAAACACTGTTGTTGTTAAGTACCGTCAAGTCAATTCCGACCCACAGCGACCCTGTATAGGGTTTGCAAGGAGCAGCTGGTGAGCTTAAACCTGTATAGTTTGAACCTTGCAATTCAAACGACTTTGCAGTCTGATGCATTAGCCCACAACAAACTATGACCATGGATTTACACCTGCCCATCTCCTGTTTCTGTATAGTTTGTGGATTTTTACTATATCATGAACTTTGGGCACATACATAGATCTCTCCCAGTCAGTAGGCCAGATAGTTAGCTGTCTTCCAAATTTCTTGGCATAGATAAGTGAACACCTCTAATGCTGCAATATTTTGTTGAAACATTTAAAATTGGTATTCCAGCCATTCCTGGAACTTTGTTTTCCCCCAATTCCTTCAATACAGCTTAGACTTCCTTCAATCCCATTGATTCTTGATCATATGCTTCTTCTTTAAATGACTGAGCATCAACCAATTCTTTTTGGTACAGTGTGTGTTCTTTGTATCTTCTTTGTTGATTCCTGTGTTGTTCAGTGTTTTGCAGATAGAATCCTTGAATAATGTAACTTAAGGTTTGCATTTTTCTTTATTTCTTTCTACTTGTTCTTTCCTTTTGGTTTTCAGACTCCAGGTCTTTGCACATTTCATTATAGTACTACACTTTGTATTGAGCCACTCTTTGAAATCTTCTGTTTAGCTCTTTTATGTCATCGTTTCTTCTATTTGCTTTATACCTACTCTGCCATCAAGGACAAGTTTTAGAGTCTCTTCTGATATCCGTCTTAGTAATTTCTTTCCTGTATTTTTAATGATCTTTTGCTTTCCTCCTGTATGATATTCTTGATGTCATCCCACAACTTATCTGGTCTTTTGTCATTACTGTTCAATGTGTCAAATCTGTCCTTGAGATAATCTCTAAATTCAAGTGGAATACACTTAATGTTGTAATTTGGCTCTTGTGGCTTTGTTTTCATTTTCTTCAGCTTCATCTTGAACTTGAATATGAGGAATTGATGGCCTGGTCCACAGTAGACCTTGTTATGATTGGTGATATTGACCTTCTCTACCATCTCTTTCACCAGAGAAGTCAACTTGATTCTGTAGATTTCATCCAGCCAGGTCCATGTAGATAGTCACTGTTTGTGTTATTGACAAAAGGTATTTGTAATGAGTAAATTGTTGGTCTTGAGAAATTCTATCACGGAATCTGTTGCATCATTTCTATCACCAAGCCATATTATGCAACTACTGATTTGTTTACTTCATTTCCAATGTTTACATTTCAATCACCAGCAATTATTAATGCATCTTAATTGCATGCCTGATCAATTGGTAAAAATCCTCATTTGTATTTGGCATTAGTGGTTGGTGCATAAATTTGATAATGTGATATTAACTGTTCATCCTTGAATTTATTTGGATATTATCATATCACTGACAGCTTGTACTTCAGAATAGATCTTGAAATGTTCTTTTGATGATGAATGTGGCAGCACTCCTTTTCAATTTTCTTTTCCTGGCGTAGTAGACCATGGTTGTAGCTGTGTGCTGTGGAGTTGGTTTTGACTCATAATGACCCTGTATAGAGTTTCCGAGGCTGTAAATCTTTATAGGAGCAGAAAGCTGCATCTTTCTCCAATGGAACAGCTGGTAGTTTTGAATTGTTGATCTTGAGGTTAACAGCCCAACTCGTAACCACTATGCTACCAGTGCTCCTTACAGCAGACCATGTGGTTGTCTAATTCAAAGTGGCCAATACATACCAGTCCACTGTGGCACTTTAGGATACATACTTGCCTGTGAACCAAAAGGTTGATGGTTCAAACTTACCAGCTGCTTCTCAGAAACCCTGCACAGGGTTGCTATGAGTAAGAATCAACTCGATGGCACTTAACAACAACAACAACAGCAATGCCTAAGATTTCTATCTTTATGAATTCTATTTCATTTTTTACAACTTATTTCCTAGATTTGTACATTGTACATTCCATATTCCTGTTATTAATGAATGTCTGCAAATGTTTCTTCTTGTTTTGAGTCACGGCACATGAGAAAATGAAGGTACCAAGAACTTTACTCCATCCATGTGATTAAAGCCAACTCTGTCTTGGGAATGCAGCTGTCCCCTGGGTATATTTTGAGTACTGTCTATATCAGACAGTACACTGTTCTGCTGTCACTCATAAGGTTTTCAATTTTTTCAGAAGATTGCCAGGTTCTTCTTTTTATGCTTTTTTAGTCTGGAAAATCTGCTGAAACCTGTCAGCCATGGATGAATCTGTTGGTATTCAAAATACCAGTGGCATAGTTTCCTGCATCAATGCAAATCACCACAGAATGACAAACTGACAGACAAGTGGTGGTGTTTTATACTAGGTTTCATTATCTGACAGAACTAGATAATCCTCATTGTCTTGATTGTTGTTGTTTTTTTCAGTCTTTATTGTGAAGTATGTGTTAGTTTACGTGGGTGAACATTATCTTTACATTCATCCTATCGTACTTTGATTCACTGCAATGATCACAATCCCCTACATACATCATCAAACACCCAAAGGGTACATCCCACACTTCTGCCCCGGCTGCCAGCACATAACTCCTCTCCCTCCCTGAGTCCAGAGTCCCTAGTCACTCCTTCTGTCCACATCATTGCCTCTGTCTCCATTCCTAGTGTCACTGCTTCTCGGGACACTGTCTCGCACTTTGCTTTTCTCCCTTGATGGTTCCAGGGATCTCCGCTCCTGGTCTGCAAAATCAGCCACTCCCCTCCTTTTGTTACCAAACATTTATGTTTACCTTTCCAACACTCACTGTCAGACCTGATGACAATCATTCCCTTTTGAACCACAGCAGTCCTTTCCCCTTTATCAACTCCATCCAGATAGGTTGGAAACAATACAAATCCCTGTATCCTCTAGAGCTAGGTTCCCTATTGAAAGCTTGTAAGCCAGTCACTTCTTGCCATTGTAGTCCCCCTATTTGGGGTAGCCAATATCTAAGTTCCGGCTCCCTGTCGACCCTATGTACCAAGGAGGTGGGAATGATCCTCACTGTAGAGCTTTGTCCGCTCCTTTGTTTTACTGCATCCACAAGTACAGGTTAAGATCATCCACTTATAGTGGGTTACTCCTTTTTTCCCCCTGTTCCTTCTACCTCTAGTCATGTTCTGATCATCCAGCCATTTATATCAGGTCAAATGGGTACTATCTGCAATTGTGGTGTTCTTACACATCCCCTCTCACTTTATATCAGCTGGATGCTTCACACTCTTCTTGATTGTTTTTTATTAATGTAGTCTATAATATTCTTTATAACGTACTTTTCCAAATGAAATACAAATGCATTTTGACATTTCTAGGGACAATGTTCTCTAAATCTCAGTACTTAATTTCTTACGTTGTAGAGATGTACTGAAATAATAATAATACATGTAGAGCATGTATAACACTAGTGCCTGGTGGTAAAACTTACCAGGTTTTCTTTAGGAATCTGATAAAACTTTTGAATGCTCATCCCAGGAAAATACACATAGACACATACCAACAAAATTGTGCATATTACTTTTTTTTCGTAGTTCTTGAAAGAGCAGACTCTGGATTAAGATCCCTTGCTCTGTACTTCTATTCAATTTTATTGTTGTTGTTCTACCTAAGTGTGTTTTAAAATCCTCCACATAATAGTTTTTGTACAATTATTCATATTTACTATATATTTTGCTTTTCATAGTTAAACTGTTGTTATTTATACATAAAGATTCATGTGTACTGTATTTTCATTCTTGCACATTCATGCATACATCTATTTAAGCAAAATATATCAACATTATTTGTTTCTATTAAATCCATTTAATAGTTTACTTCTTTAATATAAATATAATATAACATTATTGTTTAGTGTTTTGAAAGAGTTGATTTTATGATTTCATTATTAACTATGCCTTTGCTTGTTTTATAACAATCATCTATATTTCACTTAACATTTTTCATTTGAATTTTACTTTGTGACATTTAATTTGGACCATGTTTACTGATACATTTACATGGAATTTTCTTCTTTAGAATCACAACAAAACTGATTCTCAGTCTTCTTCACATTTAAAGTTTGGAGATGTTTTGGTTGTCAGCAACTGTGTGTGTTCTGAGTGACATGCTATGCTACTTTCCTAATCCTTTTCATGACCTTGATTATTTTAGCATAGTTAGAATTTATAATATTATTTGGAAAGACACTATTTTCTATTTAATGAAACTCCATCATTTTCCTAAATTAAAACATACAATTTTATTCATGTGTGTCTGTGTGTGTATTTTTCTGGGATGAGTGTTCAAAAGTTTTATCAGATTCCTAAGGGATTATTTAAAAATATTAAGAAAGAGAAGTTAAATGTCTTTTACTGAAAGTTATACTAGAAGCTTTCAATAGCTAGCTATTTAGAATCTAAAGATCATCTATTTGCTGCTGTTGTTAAGTGTTGTCAAGTTGATTCTGACTTATGGAGCATCTACTAGACCCCATGAATAAATGAAATCAATCTCTGCATCTTGAAATTTTACTATATTGCCAAGTGGTCCCTTTTAGAACACATATGTGAAGAAATAATAACAACTTAACTTTCTAGATCCTTATGGAAAGGGTTCATTTGCCATCAACTTAAAGAAGACCTCTAGTATTAGAAATCATGTTAGAAATTTAGTATCACAGATTAGAGACAAAGTGGCAGTAATATAATTCAGTTGTTGGTAGTTTAGTATGGCTTTTGTGGGCTTAACTGGGAACATAACCATCCTTTGCAATAGTTTTTCTACGGAGAGATAAATGTACTCTGATTTCCAAATAATTGAATACAGATTACTTTTAGTTTTGAAAAGTATATTTAAAACAGTATTGTTATTTTGGAAATAGTTTAGAACCATGTGTCATGCATATAAAGCCAAAAAGGTAGCATTCTCTGTTGTTGTTGTTGTTAAGTGCCATCGAGTCGGTCCAACCCATAGCAACCCTGTACAGGGTTTCCGTGGCTGTAAATCTTTATGGGAGCAGAACGCCTCATCTTTCTCCCATGGAGCGGCTGGTAGTTTCGAACTGCTGGCCTTAAGGTTTGCAGCCCGATTCATAACCACTACGCTACCAGAGCATTCTCTATCACTAAGAAAATAAGTTCCTGGGTGGTGTAAATAGCTAAGAACTCAGCTGGCACCTCAGAAGAAAGGCCTTGCAATTTCTTTCCAAAAGTCAAGGCATTTAATCTCTGTGGAGCACACTTCACTCTGATACATACAGGGCATCATGAGTCAAAGTTCACTCAAGAAACAAGTGGTTTGTTTTTTTTTAATACTGAAAAAAGTCACTAAGACTCTGCTGTGATACTGCAGGATAAACACTGGACTACAAGGTCAGTTTGAACCACAAGGCCCATGGTTCAAACTCACCAGCTGCTCCTTTGAAGTCCTATACAGGGTCTCTTTGAGTCAGAACTGACTCAATCAATGTCACTTAATGAGGAGGAAAGACAGGTTCAGTTACATTTATTTTCTAATTAATTAAATAATTGCACTCTTTTCTTGACAGTTCTGTGGATCCCTTAATCCAATTTGAATTTCAAGTGGTTTTAGTACAATCATCCTTTAAACTGGCGATTGTCTTGCCAAGTCTTGAGAAAATAAAAGAAGCAAAAGCCAACAGTAATCACCAGGAGGACCTGGAGGTAAGATGCTTCTGCCTTTAATCATGAGGAAGAATGGTTATACATCACAGTGATCCCCTGCTAGGGAATTTCTCTTGGCAGCTAATAAATTTTGTTGTCTTCGCCATCACATTCCTTAGATATAATGGATGGAATTTACTAGTATGTGCAGCAAAGAAGAAGATAGGAGAGAGAAAGGCAGAAGTAGCAAGAGTCCACAGTAAGATCAGCAACATTGTGGTCTCTTCTATCTCAGCACTGCTACACAACACACTTAACCCATAAGCTGGAGAAGCAATTCAAGGCATATGATACTAGGGTGAGGACTCATTTCCTTGTCTCAGTTTATGAGGAATTTAGGACACCAAAATACAAAATAATATACTTTCAGTAAAATTTAATCAAAGTTGTGTGACTGGCTGATAGTATAACTATTTTTTGTTTGTTTCAGACGTTATACCAAAATGTTTTTAATATATTTGAGGACACTCTTCTGATCTTAGTGTCGAAAGATCTCTATAAACTACAGATCTTAAAGGTAAACTAGATAGTTTTGAGAGAGGCCATATCTTTTCAGCTTGTGAATAAAGGAAAAATAAGCATTTGATTTGACATTTTGATATGACATTTTCATGTCATAGATGTAAAGATTTTAATATGCAAATGTATATAATTTATTATGTTTTACTTATTTCCCATTTGCCATATTTATGTTGCTGTTGTTAACTGACATTGAGTTTGTTCTGAATCATAACGACTCTGTATAGGGTGAGTTTGAACCATCGAACTTGTGGATCAAACCAACCTTATGGTCCAGGATCTTTCAAATATCTGGTGGCTGAAATTTTTTTCACTCTTCTAGGTCATCCAGGGAGTGAGATTACCTCCCTCCTATACTTCCCCACCCCCACAAAAAGTGACTTCCCTTCATTTTAATTACAGAGACATCTTAAGAATTCAGTTTAGGGTCACGGTTTCAATAGCCATTTGAGAAAACAAGTATGCAATATAAGGGTGGACACAGTATGGAGTAGCAGAGAATACTAGGATAATTGGCTTCAACTACTTTCAAGTCCACTTAACAATGAACCATACTGTGACTATGGTCTACATGCATGTCTCCCCCACCCCACCCCCCAAAAAAATTGGGGAACTAGGTAGTCCTATGAACATTCTATCTATAGATGCTATAGTATGAGAGGAAGGACTAACTGCTCAAAACTTTATTGTTCATATCACAGACCTTACTGCTTTTCAACTGTACTAGTCAGGAAGAGGAGACTGCTCAGGATGTCTTCAAATACTTCAATTTTGCCTTTCTAAAACAATGGCATCAGGGGCCAGGGTCCTGGAAATATTGGGAAAGCAAATTCTATCAGGAATATCCATGGAAGCTCTCTAGTTCATGCATTATGAAAATCATAAAATACATCCAAGTAAAGAATCAAAATTAGTATCTATGAAAGCATGAGGAAGGTGAAGGAAAACAAAGTACAGTGTAACCTGTCAGAGCCTACACTTGAAGGGATTGCCTTGTTTTTCTGGGTCTCAACAGATTTCCATCTTTGACAGATGCAGTCTTACCACATTTTTATACTCTCCATTAATGGAAATTATTTTAAAGTTTTCCTACTCTGACATGTTTCCACTTTACACAGGTTCTGTCTTTTGTAGATTTTACTGTATCGTGAACTCCTTTGGGCCTAATTTGAGCCATGTTTGTGTGTATGTGTGTGCATGGTCCTTGGGTGGCACAAGTGGTCGCTATTAATAGCTTCCACTTATTGAACATTTATTCCATGTCAGGCTCTAAACAGAATAGTTTATATGTGGGTTAGCTCATTTAACCCTTAAAATAACTCAATAGGAAATTTATTATTATAGCTCCCAGTTTCAGATCAGGAAATGGAAGTAGAGAGAGGATCAATAATAGGCCGAAGCTAATGTGTGAAGGAACCACCCTAACTTGGAATCCTATAGCTTAACTATTGTGTTCCCTTACTTACCATCTCTAAAATCTCTCCTGATCTTCCATAGAGCCAAAGACTCAATCCTGGAAGGAGCAGAGCCTGACCCTCTGAGATCTAGAAACAATTCTGCCCTAGAGAATAGGATTCAGAATACTTATCTATGATGGAAACAGACTAAATTACCAACCACTTGTATAAACACTATGGTCCCAAACAGACTGACGTAAAACATATACTAATGTGGATTGGAACAAGAGGCTTATGCAATATCCTTCCTTTCCAAAGGCTGTAAATATGACCTTGCAATTGAGGATATACAAAAAAGAAATATAAACTAATAAATAAACAGCAAAACAGATTCAAATAAAAATTACCAAGAGCTTAGTAACTAAAATATCAACTATGATGTATCCAAGAACCATGAGCAGGAAAATTTCTGACTGGTAACTTTGCAAAGGAAATCCTAGAGAAGGATGGTATTTTAGAATCAGACAACGTTTCAATTTTCTTTTAAAGCTAAAAATGAAATTCTATGATTTAAAGGAGAAAATAGTACACATTTTGAAAGTAAAAGACAAAGAAACTTCTGAAAATCATATAATTACCCAATGCTAGGATTTTTTGATACCTGAAAAATTCACTGCCATCATGGAAATGAATAAATATTTGCTGAATAATATTAAATTAAATGAAAGCCATGCATATTTATAGTAAACATGGCCCTGCTTGGTACCCATATTTTAGAGATCAAAGGTTAGTTTTAAAATAATCTGGAATATGTTAGAGAACATGTTGCTGTTTGTTTTTAGGAGCCATCAAGTTGGTACTGCCTCATAGTGACCTTATGCACAGCAGAACGAAACACTGCCCAATCCTGGGCCAACCTCACTATTGTTGCCACACTTGAGTCCATAGATGCTGCCACTTGGCCAATCCAACTCATTGGGGTTCTTCCTCTTTTTCTCTGAACCTCCACCTTACCAAACATGATATCCTTCTCCAGCGACTGGTCCCTCCTGACAATATGTCTGAAGTAGAGAGACAAAGTTTGGCATCCTGGCCACCAAGGAGCACTCTGGTTGCAATTCTTCCAAAACAGATCTGGTGGTTCTTTTGGCAGCCCATGGCACTTTCATATTCTCCTCCTACACAATAACTCAAATGCATCAATTCTACAGTTTTCCTTATTTACTGTCCAGCTATCACATGCATATGAGGTTATTGAAAATATCATGGCTTGGGTCAGGGCACCTTAGGTTTCAAGCTGACATCTTTGCTCTTCAACACTTTAAAGTGGTCTTGTGCAGCAGATTTGCCTAATGCAATACACTGATTTCTTGACTGCTGCTTCCATGAGTGTTGACAGTTGATTCAAGAAGAAGGAAGTCCTTGACAACTTCAATCTTTTCTCCATTGATAAGAATGTTGTTTATTGGTCCAGTGGTGAGAATTTTTGTTTTCTTTACATTGAGATGCAATCCATACCAAAGGCTGTGCTCTTTGATCTTCATCAGTAAATATTTTAACTCCTCTTCAATTTCAACAAGCAAGGTTGTATCATCTGCATATCGCAGGTTGTTAATGAATCTTCCTCCAATCCTGATGCCATGTTTTTCTTCACAGAACCCAGCTTCTCAACTTATTTGCTCAGCATACAGAGTGAATAAGTATGGTGAAAGAATACAACCCTGTCATACACCTTTCTTAATTTTAAACCATTCAGTGTTCCCATGTTCTATTCGAACAACTGCTTCCTGGTCCAAGTACAGATTCATCATGAGCACAATTAAGTGTTCCGGAATACTCATACTTCCCAATGTTGTCCATAGCTTGTCATGATCCACACAATCAAAAGCCTTTGCATAGTCAATAAAGCACAGGTAAATATCTTTCTGATTATTCTCTGCTTTCAGCCAAGATCCTTCGGACATCAGCAATGATATGCCTCATTCCACAGCCTCTTCTGAATCCAGCTTGAACCTCTGGAAGTTCCCCGTCAATGTATGCTTGCAGTCATTTCTGTATTACCTTTAGTAAAACTTTACTCACATAGGATATCAAAGAGATTGTCCGATGATTTCCGCATTCCATTGGGTCACCTATCTTTGGAATGGGCACAAATATGGATCTCTTCCAATCAGTCCACCAGATAGTTATCTTCCAGATTTTTTGGCATAAATGAGTAAGTGCCTCCTGTGTCATATCACTTTCTTGAAAGTGCTGTTGTTATGAACTGTTTAATCTATTCTGACTCATAGCGACCTTATGACCCAACAACAACTACCTGGTCTTGTGTCATCCTCACCATTGTTGCTATGTTTGCACCCATTGCTACCATTACTGTGTCAACCTATCTCATTGGGGTCTTCTTCCATTTTCCTGACCCTCAACTTTATCAGGCAAGGACCTCTAGTAGCGTAGTGGTTACAAATAGGGCTGCGAACCTTAAGGTCAGCAGTTTGAAACTACCAGCTGTTCTGCAGGAGAAAGATGAGGCTCTCTGCTCCCATAAAGATTTACAGCTTCGGAAACCCTGTGGATTCATAGGGTCGCTATGAATCGGAACCCACTCCATGGCACATCACCACCACCACCACCACTTTATCAGGCATGATGTCCTTCTCCAGGATCTGTTCTAACAATGTGTTTAAAGTACAATAGATTAAGTCACACCATTCTCGCTTTTAAGGAGCATTCTGATTGCACTTCTTCCAGATTTGTTTGTTCTTCTGTCAGTTCATGGTATTTTCCATACTCTTTGCTAGCAAAATAATTCGAATGCATCAATTCTGTTACAGTCTCCCTCATTCATTTCACATGCATATGAAGTGATTGAAAACATCGTGGCTTTGGTCAGGTGCACCTTAGTACTCAAAATGACATCTTGCTCTTTAGCACTTTAAAGAGATCTTGCGCAACAGATTTGCCTAACACAACATATCACATGGTTTCTTGACTGCTGCTTCCATGCTCGTTGATTGTAAATCCAAGCAAAATGAAATATTTGACAGTGTCAATATTTTCTCCATATATCATGAAGTTATTTATTCGTTCACTTGTGAGGATTGTGGCTTAAATTGAAGTACACCCCATGCCAAAGTCTGTAGTCTTTGATCTTCATTTCCACTATGGCAGTGACTTGATCAGGTATCCTAAAAAAGCCTTTGCAAATTCACCAGTCAGAAATTTTCTTGATCATGGTTCTTAGAAACATCATTGGAGACATTTCACTTAGATAGTTCTTCATAATTTATATTCAAAAAGTATTACAAGTTTCTTTACTTCCACAAGCAGGATTGTGTCATCTGCATATTGCAGATTGTTAATGATTCTTCCTCTAACCCTGGTGCTATGTTCTTCATATAATCCAGTTTCTCAGATTGTTTGCTCTACACACAGACTGAATAAACATAGTGAAAGGGCATACAGTTCTTGATTTTAAATCATTCAGCAAACCCTTGTTCTGTTTTAATGACTGCTTCTTGGTCTATGTACAGGTTTCTCATGAGCACAATTAAGTGTTCTGGAATACCCATTCTTCACAGTGTTATCTACAGTTTGTTATGATCCACATAGTCAAATGCTTTAGTACAGTTAATAATAAGCACAAGTAAACATCTTTCTGCTATTCTTTGCTTTCAGCCAAGATCCATCTAACATCAGCAATGATATCCCTTGTTATACAGCCCCCCTTGAATTCAGCTTGAATTTCTAGCAGATCTCTGTCAATGTATGATTGCAACTGTTTTTAAATTACCTTCAGCAAAATTTTACTTACATGTGGTATTAGAGATATGGTTCAGTGATTTTGACATCTTATTGGTTCACCTTTTTTTTGGAATGAGCACAAATATGGATCTTTTCTAAAAGGTCGACCAAATTTCTTGGCAAAGACAAGTGAGTGCCTTCAGTGATGCATCAGTTTGTTAAAACATTTCAACTTGGTCAATACCATAGAGTCAATACTGACTCATAGAGATCTTACGAAAAACAGAACGAAACACTGCCTAGTCCTGCACCAACCTCACAATCATTGCTATGCTTGAGCTCATTGTTGCAGCTACTGGGTCAATCTATCTTGTTAAGGGATTTCTTCATTTTTGCTGACCCTCCACTTTGCCAAACACAATGTCCTTCTCCAGGGACTGGTCCCTCCTGATAATATGTTCAAAGTATTAGAGACAAAGTCTGGCCATCCTGGCTTCTAAAGGAACTTTCTGGCTGTACTTCTTCCAACACCGATTTGTTCTTTTGGCAGTTCATGGTACTTTTAATATTCTCTTCCAGCACCATAATTCAAATGCATCAATTCTATTGTCTTCTTTATTCACTGTCCAACTTTCACACGCATATGAGGTTATTGAAAATAACCTTGGTTCAGGCACACCTTAGTCCTCAAACTGATATCTTTGCTCTTGAACGATTTAAAGAGGTCTTGTACAGCAGATTTGCCTAATGCAACACATTATTTGACTTTTTAGCTGCTGCTTCCATCCATGAATGTTGATGGTTGATCCACCCAAAGTGAAATCTTTGACAACTTCAATCTTTTCTCCATTTATCTTGATGTTATTTATTGGTCTAGTGGTGAGGATTTTTGTTATTTCATCAATTCTTGGAACCTCAGTCTTCACCAATGCCTTCAGGGCAGCTTGGACTTATTGCTTTAATACCATAAGTTCTGTATTTCTTTCATCTTGTTTTGATATTTCTTGCATAATTCAATAGTTTGCCCATGTTTTCTTGTTAAGTGTTGTCAAATTGGTTTCAACTCACAGAAATCCTATACAGCATTTCCCAGAAGCTGCTGGTGAATTTGAACTGCCAAGCTTCAAGTTCAAACTGCCCTTCGGTCGAGTGCTTGTCCTACAACACCATAATACCAGGACTCCAATTTTGCCCATACATGCCTTTAATATTACCAGCTGAGGCTTCAGTTTTTTCATCAGTTCTTTCACCCTGAGAAATGCTGTATATATTCTTCCATTTTGGTTTTCTGTCTCCAGGTCTTTGTACATTTCATTATAACATTTGACTTTTGAGTTATAACATTTGAATTGCCCTTTGAAATTTTCTGTTCAACTCCTTTACTTCATCATTTCATCCAGTTGCTTTAGTTTATCTATGTAAAAAGAAAGTTTCAGAGTCTCTTCTAACATCCATTTTGGCATTTTCTGTTTTTAAGACTTTTTGCTTTCTTCGTGTATGATGTTCTTTATTGTCATTCTACAACTCTTCTGGACTTTGGTCATTTGTATCTAATATATCAAATCTGTTTTTAAGCTGGTCTCTAAATTCAGGTGGGATATACTTAAGATCATATTTTGACACATGTGAATTTGTTTTAATTTTTTTCAGCTTCATCCTGAACTTGTAGATGAGCATTTTTTGGTCCCTGGATTTGTTTTTGCTGATGATATTGAGCTTCTCCATCATCTCTTCCACAGATTTAGTCAGTTTGCTTACTGTGTATTCTGTCTGAGAAGGCATTTGCAATGAATAAGCTATTGGTCTTGCAAAATTGTCTCACGTGATTTTCAGTATCATTTCTATCACCAAGGTCGTATTTTCCAACTACGGATCCTTCCTCTTTGTTTCTAGCCTTCACATGCCAATTACCAGTAATTATCAATGCATCTTGAGTGCATGTTTGATCAATTTCAGATTGAATAATTTGGTAGAATTACTCAGTTTAATCATCAGTGACTTTAGTGGCTGGTAAATTTGAATAACAGTGGTATTAACTGGACTTCCTTGTAAGTATTTGGATAATATCCTGCCACAGACAGCATTTGTACTTCAAATAGATCTTCTGTTTTTGACCATGAATGTGTCTTCATTCCTCTTCAATTTGTCATCCCTATATAGGAAATCCTATGACTGTCTGATTGAAAATAGCCAATACCAATCCATTTCAACTCACGAATGCCTAGGATATTGATCTCTATGTATTCCATTTTATTTTTTTACTACATCCAATTTTCCTATATTCATACTTTGTGTATTCCATGTTCTGATTTTTAATGAATGCTTGCAGTTGTTCTCATTTTGAATTTTGCCCCTTCAGCAAATGAAGGTACTGAAAGTTTTATTCCATCTACATCATTAAGGACAATTCTACTTGGAGGAGGCAGCTTTTCCCCAGCCATGTTATTAGTACCTTCCAACTGAGGCTCATCTTAAGGCACTATACCAGACAATTTTCCACTGTTCTTCATAAGGTTTTCAGTAACTGAACATTCAGAAGTGGTCATCTAGAATCACAACATCACACAAGCCAACACAGTATGACAAAGTGACAGAGAACCAGTGGGTGGCTAGTAAACATAGGGACCCCTAAGTAAATTAAGTTGGAGTCTTTGGGAAATGGAAATATCATCATTCTAGGATAAGCCTTGTGTCTTTAACAGGAAATTATTGTGTGGATGGGTGAAGACAGTTCTTACATGCAGAAAAGAATTATGGTGATCATAAGCAAAGTGCTCAGCGTTGCATCCCGGAAAGCCAAGTCATATGTAAGTTATAAAGTACAATCATGTCACCTGATTTCAATTCTTTAATGTTGCTTTCTAAGTCTTGTAACTTGAGTGTGCTAGATGCCTGCTCTGTATTGTTGTGCTGATAAGCTGGGGTGTCACAAAGGAATCAGTGTCCTGCATAATTTTATGTCAATCAGAGAAGTGTTCTCAAGACTAAGTAAAACACATTATGGTTTGCACAAGCATAATGTTATTTGTAAGTATGTAATTTTTGACATTTTCCATTTCCTAAGCTATACTTTCAAAGTGTTTATTTTAAAGTCTTGTAATGCATCAATACTTTCATGGTAAAACACGGTAGATAGAGATTGAGAAGAAGTCTTCCTTTACTACCTTCCTCACGTCAGTGCCCCTGCTAGCCGTGCAGTGTGATGTGTGTCCTGCCAAACTTCTTTCAGTGTACACACCCCACACAGATACCCACACTGACTCAGAATTCTTTTACTTGTCTTTCTTACTAAAATTACATCACATTTCTATATACTTCTTCAATTTGATTTTTTCTCTGGACAAAAGTCTTACCAATATTCTCTTGTCAATATATAAACATTTATTTCACCCATTTAACCATAGTTTTAGGTTAAAAACTGTTCAGCTGATAGACATGATGGCATATTTTAGCTTTTTCCTATTTCAGATAATATAAAAATGGACATCTTTCTGCAAGTATGTAAGTCCATTCTTAAAAAACCAACAACACTTAGAAAGATAATGGTCAATAGTCTTTCAGGACATCAAGACGAACCGACACAGCATAGTCCACAAAGAAAATGGTCAACATCCTACTTTGGTGGGTTGTTGTTGTTGTGTGCCATGGAGTTAGTTCCGACTCATAGCGACCGTGTACAGGGTTTCCAAGGCTGTAAATCTTTACGGTAGCTACTAGAATTTTTAAAAGTTTGTGCATGGCTATTTAAGGACTCCTGTTATGGTGCTGCGGGTTAGTGTGCTGGACTGCAAGGTCGATTTGAACCACAAGGTCAGCAGTTCAAGCTCACCAACTGCTCCTCGGAAACCCTCTACAGAGTCACTATGAGTCAGAACCAACTTGACAGCACTTAACAACAAGAACATCTAAGGTGAAGCTATTGGTTTCTTCCTGTCCAGAGCAAAGAATAGTAAAGAAAATTAAAGACATAGAGACACATAGTCCAAAGGACAATTGGATCATGTTAACCTCAGCCTCTATAACCCAGAGACGAAAAGAACTAGATGGTATTTAGTAGCTGCAAACCTTAAGGTCAGCAGTTCGAAACTACCAGCCGCTCCACGGGAGAAAGATGAAGCTTTCTACTCCCGTAAAGATTTACACCCTTGGAAACCCTGTACAGGGTCGCTATGGGTTGGAACCGACTCGATGGCACTTAACAACAACAACAACAACTCTTGGTGTGGTGCTGTGGCCTAATGCGTCAGACTGCAAAGTCATTTGAACTGCAAAGTCAGTGGCTGAAGCTCACCAGCTGCTTCTTGGAAACCCTATACAGGGTCGCTATGGGTTGGAATTGACTCAACGGCACTTAACAACAACAACTGACTTCTCTTAAGGAGCTCTGGTAGTGTAGTGGTTACAAATCAGGTTACTAACCTCAGGGTCAGCAGTTCGAAACTACCAGCTGTTCCGTGGGAGAAAGATGAGGCGTTCTGCTCCCATAAAGATTTACAGCCTTGGAAACCCTGTACAGGGTCGCAAAGAATCGGGACTGAATCCATGGCACATAGCCACCACCACCACTACTGACTTCTCTGAGAAGAACAATAAAGTGGAAGAAAATGTGAGACAAAATTAAAAATCATTAAAACTCCAGACTTACTGGTTAGATAAAGACTGGTGAAATTGCCAGTGGGAAGGTTCAAACTGCCAAACAGCAGCTGAGCATTTGCCCAACAAGCAACCAAGACTCTGATCAGCCTCAGAATACACCGTAAGTTTTACTCTTTAAAAAAAAAAAAATCAGCTTTGGAACACAGGTATAATTTATTTATAATCCATGATTTTTTTTATAGCATGCTGATCACCTATTAATCAAATGAAGTCCAAATGGAAGGCCGAGAGATTGGTCTAAATCATCCGATTCTTTTGCCTGAGAAGGCAGTCTAAAAACGGCTTGGAATGTCCATTCAAGTGTCTATAAAGTTCATCATAGCAATCTTTGTAAGTAAGGTCTGAGATTGAGTGTAGTTCATCCCTGTAGCCTGCTTTCTGCACAGGATCTAACACAAATACACTCAGCAAATATTTGATGTCAACTGTCTGACTACATGAGGAACCCTGATGGCACAGTGGTTAAAGTACTTGACTGCTATCCAAAAGGTCAGTGGTTAGAATCTACCAGTTGCTCTACAGGAAACAAATGGGACATCTTTGAAACCCCTATTGACTAAAGAGCAGTGGGTTGGGTTGGGTTTCATTTGACAGGGCCTATTCATTTTCTTCTCTCTGAATATAAATTTTCAAGTAAGTTTCACTCAGGCAGCAACAAGATATTTCTTTGTTCCTTCTCCTTCTTTGCCTTTTCCTATCTTCTCTTTCCATTGCTGTAGCAAAATTTATTCTCTTCTACATTTGGCCAATAAGTGTGTATGTGCATGTGTAGCATGTGTAGCATGTGTAGCAGAAGACGCTCATAAGTTGTTAACTGAAGGTTGCTGATACTGTTAGCCTGTCGAGTTGGTTCTGACTCATAGTGACCCTGTATAGGTTTTCCAAGGAGTGGTTGGTGAGTGTGAACTGCCAACCTTGTGGTTCAAACCAACCTTGTGGTCCAGTGCATTATCCCACAATGACGGTATCTAGCTATAACTGAAATTTATGGGAGAAACTAAGTTGAATAACCTTACTCTGTTCTGCAATGTTCATACATACCACCAGGTGGAAGCACATCAGTATTTTCCAGAACATTGACATTTTGACAAGGAGAGCTCATAGTCTTGAAAGTTCATCAATCATCATAGTCATAGAAGCATAAAACTTTATAGATTAACTTTTTCTTTAGAACAATGTCTAATGATGTTTAAGTCAATGAAATTAATGAGACCAAATATATAGAATAAAACAACCAAATAGTAAACTTTGTTAATAAATGCTATTATAAAGCTGAACTTCCCAATGTCCAGGCATGTATATATCTGACACACTGTAGTTAATCAATGAAGTTTTTTTTATATATCCTTATCTAACTAAATACAACCATTCTATTCTCCATTACTCTGGACAAAGACTTTCTTCTTTGTAAATACTCTAGGTCTTCCAGAGTCTCAGAAAGCCTTGTCATTTTAAAACTCCTACTATTTGTATTCTGTCAGATATATTTTTGAAAGCATTAATTCTCCCCTCATAACCATTACACCTACCCATCAAGGTGAGAAAACTCTTATACTCAGACTTTGTAATCCATCCAATTAGATGCTTGCATTTTCAGTAAAGAAATGTGAGCTAAATATGTCATCTTACAGCATTGAAAGGAAGAAATTTTTTTCTAGGTTTATTCATTTGGGACACAAGAGTTTAGAAGATGGGTGGAGAATTCTAAGCAAATCTAGCAGATTGCCTACATGTACTTATTTTATTTCCTTCTGAAATCCTCACAGAATGATGGCAATGAAATATTTTAAAAGTAAAAGTCCACAGAAGCAAAGAAAATTAGTGAAGATGTTTTTAATGGGCTAGCAAGATCTGGAGGACAGATTCCAGTTGGTTCCAATTCATGGTGACACATGTGGGACAAAATATCACTGACCTCCATGGGATTTTCAATAACTGATTTTGGGAAGTAATTACCAGGTTTTTCTTTTGAGATGCCCTCTCTAAATAGTTTCAAATAGTTAGAAGTCACACATTTTAGTTGTTTGCACTACCAAAGGACTTCAGAAAGACGGCAGTAACTGATAAAGGCTGATTGGCAGGGACATATGAACAGTGGGTAGGGACAAATGGAGGCAATGTGCCCTTCAGAGGCCTGGAGAGGCTGGTGCTGTGAAAGCTCAAGTAATGTTGCAGGTGAGAGTCAGAAAAGGATGAAAGAATATGCATGAATTGATACATTTAATTGAAAGTTTATATAGAAGAATCTGTGTTGTTTCTCATCCCCCTTCTTGATGGTTGTTGTTAAATACAATAAACTCATAGTGACCGTTTTTAGAGTTTCCGAGGAGAAGTTGGTAGATTTGAACTGCTGACCTTGTGGTTTGCAGTCCAGTGCTACAGTGTCACACACATAACATATTCCATTTGGAAGGTTCCATTGGAAGGCAAAATTAGAAGATTTCTTTCCTCAAAAGAATTGTAAGTCCTTGAAGAAAGACTCATAAATGCCATTATTCTAATATAGTGCAGTGTGATAGTGCCTCCCCACCTAACGACCAAAAAACAAGGTCTACCAGTTTCCAAACTTTGTGCACACATAAAATATCATCAAAGAGCATTCTTAATAAGAATAGACAGCCAAAAGTTTCCAGACATTTGAGAACATTCTTTGTAATAAAGATACAAACCAAAGTAAATAGGAATAAGGTGTCTATTAAAAATAGAGAGAAGCATGAAGATATGGACTGAGTTCAATCATGTTCCACAGTGTCCTGTTGACATGGATATGAGAAAGATAAAAGGAAGGACTGGTTGGTCCAAAGTGTGGTGAGACCTTGGGATTCCTAAGCCCATGGACAAGAACCTAGCCATGGAGGGCTAGAGTTGAGAGTGAAATGTCCAGCTGATATGAAATGAGAGGAGATGCACAAGAATGTCCAAACTTTCAGATAATACCCATTTGACGTAGTTTTGATAGTTTGATGATCAGAACTGGACTGTTGTTGTTGTTGTTGTGTGCTGTAGAGTCAGTTCCGACTCATAGCGACCCTGCACAGGGTTTCCAAGGCTGTAAATCTTTACAGGAGCAGAAAGTCTCATCTTTCTCCTGCAGAACAGCTTGTAGTTTCGAACTGCTGACCTTAAGGTTCACAGCCCAATTTGTAACCAC